GTGAGGGGATTTTTCAGTTTCAAGGACACTTTCAATACATTCAGTAGTTTCAAGGATTTCAGCTGTTTAAGAATTTAACCAGTTTCAAGGATATCAGGAGGTTCAAGGATTTCAGGAGTTTCCACACTTTCAACAGTTTCCAGGTTTAAAAAAGTTTCAAGGATTTCAGGAGTTTCAATGTTTCAACAGTTTCAAGGATTTCAGGAGTTTAAAGGTTTCAACAATTTCAAGGACTTCAGGAGTTTCAAATATCTATCAAGTATTTTAACAGTTTCAAGGCTTTTTAAAGGATTTCAAGGATTTTTTTTAGCAGATTTCCACATTAGATCTGTTCCGCAGTCAATCGCAATGGCTTCAGCCATTGCAAGTTTCTAGTTTATTTGTATTGTTTAAACTCATTTTCTGGCTAATTAGAAAGCCTTATTTAAACAGTTTGTGTGTTTCCTGCTGCACCATTGGTCCCTTACAGATAGTAAGATAATTATACACTGCTCAAAACTTGGGAGCGAGACAGTGGTTGGTTGGGGGTTTGATTCGCCATGTTCTCCCTGTGTCTGCAAGTTTCCTCTGGGTGCTCCAGTTTCTACTACCACTACTATTTAGAAAAGGTCTAAATGTGAGAGTGACTGGATGGTTATGGCGTGTATAGTGAGTTTGGCATCTTGCTCCCTTCATCACTGCGGAGGGGAAGGAAAATAATGGTACAACAAAACTGATCAGGCTTAGTGTGACATGCACAACATTAATAAATATTACTATTTTGAAGTAGGGAACATGTGGGGAAAAGTGGCAAACTGAATTACAGGCAATAAACAGCTCTGTCCATGTCGTCACAGTTGAGGATCTGAGAGCATTCAGACAGAAGGGGTGGGTCCATGTTATTTCATGATTGTGTGAAGTCCAAATAAAAAACATTAATAAAAGGCAAGCAAGATTCTGTAAGAAACATTTATTAGGAAAAACGATTCACAATTGTCGTTTTAATTGAATAATCACCTAGAATGGGTTTGTTACAAAGCTTCAGAAGACTTTCAACGAAAACAACAGAAAACAGTTCACTACAAACAACTTTTCAACAGTGGTTTTCATCTGAAGCCTCATTTCCACCAGCGCCCTTGGCCCTGAGAGTTTATATCGGCCCCGTTTTACCCGTACCAGGTACTTCTTTTAGTACCTGCTTGGCCCTGGGTCTATTCAGATTGAACTAGTATGTCCAAACTAAGCCCTGCGGGCTGTTTGTGGCCCTCTGTGTCAATGTATGTGGCCCTCTGCTGGTCTTTGCGATCATAAACACAAGTTCACAGTGTCACCCAGCCAACTTCAGCTCAGTATATATGTCTAAATGCAGACATTTGTGTTGGATTTCATCACACAATTCCATACATGGGGCTAACGTACCAGCTCCGAAAGTAAAACATTATAATTAGGTATGAACAGCAAAGTTTAGAACCGTGGAAAAGCCTGGTTAAATGATGTAGGCCTAAAAGTTTTGGACAACCCTGTACTAAAGGGTTCTAACGGAGTAGAGTAGAGTAGAGTAGAGTAGGGTAGGGTAGGGTAGGGTAAAGGAAGGCTGGTGGAAACAGGGCTTAAGTTCACAGGATTTCTTCAATGGCTCGAATGTAGCTAACATCAGCAGCTGGTGATAACAGTATTTTGTTCATAAATGAGTCGTTATTTTCCATCTGTGCTCAGGCAGAGACAGCATGGGGATCTGTGCAAGTGAAAACATTTCACACATAAACAAAGAAAATGAAAAATCAGAATGTCCCAGAACGCGTCATATGTGAGAAACAAGATTTTTACATTAAACAAAATATTAAAAAACATATAGAAAACAGCTATGTAATTGTTTTTGATTGACTTGAATTTCCAACTGATGTCAAGTCCAAGTGCGTGTGGGATGAATAAACGGGACATTTCTTTCACATATTTGGTAAACTCCAATTATCCTGATCATAGAAATTTCATACTGTATATTGTATAGTACAGCGATCCCTAGTTTATCACAGGGGTTATGTGTTCTAATAACCCACAATAAGTAGCAGCTGTACATGTTAAGGCTGTAAAACCCTTCACTGCACTCTGTATACACTTTTCTAACCACCTGGATTGGTTGCAGGTCTGAGCCCTGCTGCAGTTGTCAAAAGCCGTGCATACACTGTCAAATACAGCTGCAGAGGACGCGGCACAGGACTGAGGGCTAGTCCAGGCCACAAATGTGTTCTTCTGACCGTGTGCAGTTGTGATTTTTACAGCGTGCTTCTGATTCTTCAAAGTCAGAAGCTTTTGTGGCTGGTGATGTGATTGGTTCATTAGTGTGATGTAGAACTGCTACTTTGGTGATTTTGCTTATTGCAAGTTATTTTTGGAGCTTAACCCCTGCGATAAACTAGACTGTGTAATAGTAAAAGTGTCCCCAGCTCCAGACCCACTGTGGCCCGTTCAGCTTCTCGTCATCAACATTGCTGTGTATCCGTTGGTTACCACGACAAACACATTTTTCCCCTCAATCAATTTTCAATTTTAGTTTCTGAAAAAAAAAAAAAAGTTAAAGAAACAAAAGAGGTAAGAGCTTTGACGCGCTGGTGAGATGATGAAATGTTGAAAACACAGATTGTATTCCAGTTTGGTAGAAGCTACATTTGAGAGACTTTCAAATATGTCTGTTTCAGTGCATGGACAGGTCTGTAGAACAGGATTTGTTGTTGTAAATATTGGACTTTGTACAATCTGAATTAGAATCATAAACTATGTGAAGTTCACAGTGCTTCTCCTGGCTACAAACATTTCAAAATGCATTAACACTAGAGTTATGAAACTAGAACTCCCAGATTAGTTTATAAAAGTAATACACAAATTTTTCTTACCTTTACTTAGCTTTAATAAGTACTAGAATGTTAACCCTAAATACAGCAAAAACAGTTTGTTGAAAGGCAAAAGGCTTTTAAATGTTTTTGGTTCATTAAATGTACTTTATAATTGTGATGTGAGGAGACCTTGAGTATCTAGAAAGGCGCCTAAGAAATAGATAGTAATATTATTGTTATTATTGTTAATCGCTAGCTACCACGACAGTGTGTTGCTATGGTAACCATCACTTGCTCTTCTCTGGTGGATAACCAAAGTCTAGGACCAGCACCCCAGAGAAATACATTTGAAATTTACATTAATGGAGCCGTCAAAAAGACTGCTCTGTGAGTGAACGGCAGAACTACTCAGATTTTCAAAATAAAAAATAATTTGATAAAAAAAAAAGTGACATAGAAATAAACTACATATAGCTACAGAAAAGGTTTTGGAGGAGTAAAAAGATTCATGAGCTGAGTAATTACTCTTCCAGAACCGTCAATTTGACTTCTCTGGGAGTTCTTGTGTTAATGCAATGTATAAACACCTTTTCCATAAACATTTCTAACAAAAATAGTTTCTGCAAAAAATCTAGTAGTTTGTTCATCACTGTTTCAAAGTCACAAATCAGTGCTTCAGTCTCCATTTGGATTTCTGATTTATTTATTTTTTCCATTGGATTTCAGTCTCCTCCGGCCATGATTCTCAAATTCACATACTCTTGATTAATTTTGTGATGGAGCTGTGACAATTCAATGGCAGCATTTGCATTGTTTTTTTTAAAAATATAAATATATCTCTGACCGGCACAAACGTTGAGGTCTTCCAGTCATCAGACAATGGCTGTACAAACACTGTATATTATAACAATGGTGTAAACACTGCAAAAAGTCATACACGGCAAAGGAAATGTCGTAGGAATCCTAAGACTTTTCTTAAAGACTTTTCTTTTTTCCTGTGCATACAACTAGAGAATTTTATCTTTTTAACACACCTTGTTATTTATTGTTGTAACTTTTTGTGTTTTTTACTATTTTATTGTTTTTAATTACTTATGTGATTTTAATGCTTTTTAATTACATATGTGTTTTTAATTGTATTTTAATGGTGATGATTTGTGCATTGTGTGGTGTGGACTGTGAGGCGCTTTGTGTTGCCCTGTGCAGGAAAAGCGCCCTATAAATAAAGATTGATTGATTGATTGATAATATTGTCATGATTTGAGTAGGTTGAAGTACCTGCCAATGGAAACACAATAATTTAGACTAAAAAAACAAGACAAAAGTATTTAACTTACAGCAGTAACAGTACGGTCAGAGGGCTCTTTGATGATTAGAAGCCCCTTGTGAAATGACATTAGCACATGCATCTTTAACTCAGTCTTAAAAAGGGCTGGTGTGGCTGCAGGTTTTCATTTCAACCAAGCAGGAGCACACCAGACTCCACCCATTTTGCTTGGTTGGAATAACCCTGTATAATCTGCACATGGGTTGAACTTCCATCGTTGGTGTTCATGTTGTCCCTTAAACAATAATATGGCGTTTCATGATTTAAAACAGTAAAATAAACTCTTTCCACCAACCCTGCTAATCTCTACTCTACCCTGATTGGGATTGTTTGCACTGGCCCTGCCTAACTGGTACCAGGTCCTTCTTGTAGTTCTATCCAGGGCGAGGTGGTACTAAAGTGTTCTAACTGCCAGTGATTGGCCAGAGTGCTGCTGGAAACCATGGTTACCTCATCAATTCCCTGCATACTATTTACTAAAGTGTAATGGAAGCCTCACCGGGAAGGGTAGAGTAGTGTCGAGCCGCGCTGAAAATGATGCTTATGTTGTAAGATTGAAAAGAAGGATGAATGTAACATGGTCAAAAACATTATTTTGAGAAATGAAACACCTCCATCCAGTGGTAGCAGTAGGGAATTGCACTAATTTGATCTAGAAAACTTTGCACACAGGTCTGTTCTGGATGAGGAGGAAAATATATTCAACAAAATTAGCAGATAATCCATTTCATTTCAAGACAAATATCCTTTGTCAATATTGCCTTTTGCAGTGAATAAGCGCTGTACTGTACATTTCTGGCATGATTCTCGCGTGCCGCAGGAAAAGACGGGTAAGCAGAAGACCGAGCGGGCTCACAGACGCCTCAGTAGAACCTCTTGCGCTTGTTCTCCTTCCAGCGTCCGTACAGTATGAGTCCCACCACGGCCAGCACCCCGAGCCCCATGACGGTGAAGAGCACGGACATGAAGATCTGCACGCCGCTCATGCCCTCCTCTGGGACCTCCACTGGAAGCACACGAGCTAGAGGTTATCGTTCAGCTCAAACTATCACACAACCTGGTCTCTCTCTCTCTCTGGTCCTCTTTCTCCCTTGTTGATGATCCCCCTCTCTCTCTCTTGCCCCCCTCTCGTCCCTCTTTTTCTCTCTCTGGCCCCTTCCTTACTCTCTGGCCCCTTCCTTACTCTCTGGCCCCTCCCCATTCATCTCTGGTTCCCCTTTCATTTGAGGCAATGTGAATCATAAAGAGCGATTATGGAAATGTCATTTTTATACTGAACAGAGCAGTAATTGATATCTATATGCTGTAGTGTGTGTATGTGTGTGTCTGTGTGTGTACGTGTGTGTGTCTGTCTACCATGAAACTGCTCCATGTTGTCCACACTGGGCAGCAGCACCTCCTCCCCCTCCTCCTCCTCCAGGTCCCTCTCCACAGTCAGCTCGTACATCTTCAGGGAGATCAGGTCGTGGTTGTCTGTTGAGGTCCAACATTGATGCTCATTTTAGAAGAAGACAGCGATAATCTGACACTGGGGATCCTTATAGAGTCCCACCAGAATTGCAGCTAACAACACATAATCAGTAACGACTCTGAAACTGCGTTCATCTATGAGGAGAGCTTTGAACCGGTCACACCTGTGAGATCTCCGGTGGCAGAGGAGGCCCCCAGAAAGTACCCCAGCGGCAGCCTCAGCCCGGACACCGAGGCGCAGTCTTTGTACGTCTGCTTCCCGTCCACGTCCGTCATCAGCTGGGAAAACAAAACGACGTCAGCGTTGGACCATTTGATTAAAGGGGAATAATGTGTACAATGCATTATTCATAGTACGGGCAGCACTCAGAAAGCAGAGCCACAGTTGGCTGGATGACGCTACAAACTCGTGTTTATTGATCGATTGTTTCGTTTTGGCTCTGACGACAACAACAATAGAGTTCAAAACAGGAAAAGGCGGTGCTTTTTAGGTCTCTTGTCGCTTATTTGAACCTGAACTATTCTACACCATAAACATATCATGAGCTTTGCATGTTCTGCACATCATATGCAACATGTATTGTTTGTGTATGTTAATTTATTCCATAATTTCAATCCGAGAACAGACACACATCGCAATTGATTCAATGTGTGCATTGTAGTCTAGTGTAGAGTTGTTTGCGGCTGAGCAGACTACGCTTCTCTTCTAAAACATTATTTGTGAAACGGAGAAAACCTGGAAACTATGGGCTTTTCAATATTGCGGTAGATCCCAGAAAGTTTATGTCTAAGTAGAATCAAAGCTCAAATTTCCTCCATTGTTTTCCAATGAAGGGAATACCGCATGTTGTGTTCCGATTTGTTCACAACATTTTATTTTGAAAAGACTTATTGTTGAACAAAAATGTTATTCATTAAAGATAAACTTTGATACCCGAACTTTAAACTTGTCCCCCAGATGGAAACAGTGACGGGTGCTTATTGTGAGCTGTATGCTTTTCATGCATGCCTTATTGTAGTTTTTACTTTTACCATTTGTTTGCACTGATAATCCAAGTTTGTGACCATCTGTTACTTACAACAGTAGAAGAATTAATTCCGATTCTGACATACTGTAAGATGGTTACGTAAGGGATAACGGATATTACGCAGGTCATTATCGGAAAATAAGTACCGACAGGGCGAAGTTCCGAGTCTTTAGAAGTTAGTTGCCTGGACGTAGTGCTCCTCGTATTATTATGCCTCACAATATGGTACCTCTTTTTATCCACTGAGAAAATCAACATGTTACATTTCTGTGTTACTATACTTTGTAGTGTAACACGTCACGTAACAGTATTTAAATAGGGAAAACGTGGAAGAGTTTGGTAGCTTCTAACGGGAGCTGATTTGGTAAGTATTCGGCCCCCTTGAACCTTTCAACATTTCGCCATATTTCAGGCTTTAAACATAAAGATATAAAAAAAATATTTTTTGTCATGAATCAACAACAAGTGGGACACAATCGTGAAGTGGAATGAAATTTGTTGGATAATTTAAACTTTTTTAACAAATAAAAAACTGAAAAGTGAGGCGTGCAATATTATTCGGCCCCTTTACTTTCAGTGCAGCAAACTCACTCCAGAAGTTCAGTGAGGATCTTTGAATGATCCAATGTTGTCCTAAATGACTGATGATGATAAATAGAATGCACCTGTGTGTAATCAAGTCTCCGTATAAATGCACCTGCTCTTTGATAGTCTCAGGGTTCTGTTTAAAGCACAGAGAGAACCATGAAGACAAAGGAACACACCAGGCAGGTCCGAGATACTGTTGTGGAGAAGTTTAAAGCCGGATTTGGATACAAAAAGATTTCCCAAGCTTTAAACATCTCAAGGAGCACTGTGCAAGCAATTATATTGAAATGGAAGTATCAGACCACTGCAAATCTACCAAGACCCGGCCGTCCCTCCAAACTTTCATCTCAAACAAGGAGAAGACTGATCAGAGATGCAGCCAAGAGGCCCATGATCGCTCTGGATGAACTGCAGATAACTACAGCTGAGGTGGTGATGAGCTGTGTTGCTTTTACGCCAAACATATCGTTTTGCATTGTGGCCAAAAAGTTTGATTTTGGTTTCATCTGACCAGAGCACCTTCTTCCACATGTTTGGTGTGTCTCCCAGGTGGCTTGTGGCAAACTTTAAGAGACTTTTTATGGATATCTTTGAGAAATGGCCACTCTTCCATAAAGGCCAGATTTGTGCAGTGCACGACTGATTGTTGTCCTATGGACAGACTCTCCCATCTCAGCTGTAGTTATCTGCAGTTCATCCAGAGCGATCATGGGCCTCTTGTCTGCATCTCTGATCAGTCTTCTCCTTGTTTGAGATGAAAGTTTGGAGGGACGGCCGGGTCTTGGTAGATTTGCAGTGGTCTGATACTCCTTCCATTTCAATATAACTGCTTGCACAGTGCTCCTTGAGATGTTTAAAGCTTGGGAAATCTTTTTGTATCCAAATCCGGCTTTAAACTTCTCCACAACAGTATCTCGGACCTGCCTGGTGTGTTCCTTTGTCTTCATGGTTCTCTCTGTGCTTTAAACAGAGCCCTGAGACTATCAAAGAGCAGGTGCATTTATACGGAGACTTGATTACACACAGGTGCATTCTATTTATTATCATCAGTCATTTAGGACAACATTGGATCATTCAAAGATCCTCACTGAACTTCTGGACTGAGTTTGCTGCACTGAATGTAAAGGGGCCGAATAATATTGCACGCCCCACTTTTCAGTTTTTTATTTGTAAAAAAAGTTTAAATTATCCTATAAATTTCGTTCCACTTCACGACTGTGTCCCACTTGTTGTTAATTCATGACAAAAAATTAAATTTTTATTTCTTTATGTTTGAAGCCTGAAATGTGGCAAAATGTTGAAAGGTTCAAGGGGGCCGACTACTTTCGCAAGGCACTGTATACAGTCTGTGGAAGAAGCTGCGTTTGTGCTCCGTTTGCATGACAGAGCGCACGGACACAGACCAGACAGGTACATATCAACTAGTCTAAGGTAAGGTAAGAACATATGTCAGTATGTAAAAACGGTGGCCTATTCCTTTAATGAGCGTGGCTAGCTCCGGTGTGGCCTTTTTGACGCAGATAAATAGTATTTTTGTCATGAAGACAAGACCAGTAAATTCTGAAAATCTCTGTGCACGTGTGTGAAGAATGTATAAGTATTCTCCGATTAACATTTAAGTGTGTTGATTGATTGGTATTTGCGTTTATTGAGCGTGGCTAGCTCCGGAGTGGACGGAACTACTTGCGGAGTTATCCACGCATCTGAAAAACAAGCAGAGAGTGCGTTGCCATGGGCAGCAGTCATTATTGTTTTGAGAGGTCCGTTATAGAAAATAATGACCAGTAGAACGTTTTGAAATTACATTCAAATCAATGGAGCGTTCTACTGCTGCTGTGAGGAGCCGTATAATAAATGTAGGTATGCACTGATACAATACTGGTTGAACCATGGTGAACTTCCAAAGTCGGTAGCGAGAAAGCAAGCTAGCGGCAAGTGGACAGAATGTCGGTTTTATAGCAGTTTTTTAAAGTTAATGAGTTACAAGAGTAAAGCGGACTGTAAGTATGTCACGAGGTGGATCCAAAACAAACCAGCTCATGTATAACACCATTTTCTGGTGTTATATGTGAGCTGGCTGAGGCGTACATACCGTGAACCGTGTGAGGCGTACGTACCGTGAACCGTGTGAGGCGTACGTACCGTGAGCTGGTTGCGCGTGTAGCGGATCAGCAGGAAGGAGTCGTGCAGGGAGTTGCGGATCATGGACGTGCAGCCGCCCAGCTCCGTGGAGCGGCCGTCTTTATCGTGCTCGTATGCCAGCGTGCCGTTCCCCAGCATCAGCGACACGTATGGGAAGGCTTTCTGTCCACAACAACAAACACCACTTCAGTTTATGAGGCTGCATCGAGCGACTACAGGGACATGGCGGCCGAGAGAGACAACAAAAAAGCTCATTTGTGACTGGGAATTATTAAAGAAGACATATTTTCAGGAATTTTGATGTTAAAAGTCTGCACAGTTTGATCCTAAAATGTATACTCAAAAGGATATAATAATGCATGATAGCCTGGTTCCACGTCCAAAACAGTAGTTCTTAATCCGTGCAAATTTAATCATTAGTACTCTTTCAGTACTCTCAGTTCTCACTGATCTCAGGGGCAGGGATTTGAACCAGATCTGGGAGAATGTGGTCTGAGAATGTGGTCTGAGAATGTGGCCATGTTCAGAGGAATCAATGGCAACACCTTCTCAAGAAGACATGACATCGGAACATTGAATTTCCAGCAATGATCCGAGTCTTCTCACACTGACAGGCAGAATTACGGCAACGGGAGCTATTTCAAATCTCCTTCTTCAGAGCAGTGTTTGACCGCTTGCTTACACCTGTCATTCTGCATGGATGGGGAATGAGGGAAGATTTTTTGTGCAAATTGTGTGGAACAATGGGGACGGTGGCACACGTTCTATCTAGGTTTGAGACAGACTTTGCCGAGGTAGATCAAAGTGGCGTCATGACAAGGTGTTGGCACAGTGTGAGGCAATTTGCAGCACAAAAGAAAAAAAACAGCCAACAAAAAACAAGCAAAAGAAATACACTATTGCATTTGTAAAGGCAGGGGAAAAGCCATCGAGCCAAAATGTAGTGAGAAAACGGATGGGAAATGGATTCTGGATTGGAGAAGACACTCATCTTTCCAGAGACATTATTCATAATTCAATGACTGGGGTTGTTGTAAAAGTGCCTATATGGACATAAAGCTTACTAAGGGTGTGTCTAGGTGGGTTTCCTCCGGGTGCTGCGTACCATTGTGTACAAAGTGAACGATTAGTGACCAGATTGAGACAAGTATAGATCTTTCGACTTTTGGCACAGATCTTTATAATGGGCGATGAGTGGTGGCTGAGTGGATAGCACTCTCGCTTCTCAGCAAGAAGGTCCTAGGTTCAAATCCTGGTCGGCATGGGGCCTTTCTGAGTGGAGTTTGCATGTTCTCTCCGTGTCTGCATAGGTTTCCTCCGGGTGCTCATGTACAATATAGGTCTGGCATGAGACTCCTGCATTTGCGACCTGCGCTCTCTGTGTGGAGTGGGAGAGAAACGCCCATACTTGTAAAGCGCTTTGTGACTCTGGTCTGTGAAAGGGGCT